GGAAGAGAGGAGAGGGGAGGGGGAGAGGGAAGGGGGGGGAGGGAAGAGGAAGAGAAACAAGGGCGGATGGAGGGAGGGGGAGGAGAGCGGGAGAAGGGATAGGGAGAGCGAGGGAGAGGGAGGAACGACGCACTAAGAGGGAGGGAAATATGGGAATAGGGGAAGAGAGTGGAGAGACCAAAGAAGACCAAGCTGCATGTATACACTGACAACTTGAGACAACCCGCGCGGATTCTTGTTGGGCCGCCGCCGGGGGCTCACCGAATTCTTCCGCAAAGCCAGAAACGAATTGAACAGAAGTTCAGGGATTCCCTGTGGAACGCAAGTCGTACTGACCCCCGACGCGCGAGGAAGGAAGGGCAAGCGGTCAGCTAATATTTCGGTGGTCCGCGCGGATGTCATTGGTCGGCGCCGGACCCCCCTGGCGGCGCCGCTGGCGGCGCCATTGGCGCGCTCCGCGCGCCAGAGAGAATACAACAAATCCGCGTGAACCTCCGACATTTAGTTGTTTTGCTGCCCCGTGTTAGGAAAGGATGGATACTCCTTGATCGCGCCACTTCGCTGGACCCGCCCCTCCCCTTTCCCGAAGCGCCATGCAGCACCCAGGGGCGGCCGGGGATATACCTGATCTGCGTAGACGTCAGTCTGCTCGGCACCCCAGAGGTACAAGAATATTTGGACTCATGCACGCCCAGCAGCGCCCAGGGACGGCGAGGGATCAGTCTACGCTGGAGCAGACACGTCTCCACTGGGTATCCCGAGGGCGCAGCAAAGTTGTCGCAGGTGCACGCCTGGCATGACCCAGGGACAGCGAGGGGCATACTCGCTCTGCGTCAGACGCCGCTCAGCTGGGCACCCGAGGGACACAGGAACGCAACCGCATTGCCATGCCTGACAGCACCTGGGGGAGGGCCGCGCAGAAATTCTGATTTGCGCAAGGCGCCGCTCGGTCGGACCCACGCAGCGGCAGCGACGTGCGCACGCCTGGGAGCTCCAAGAGAGGGCGCGGGAGACGCGGAAGACGCCACCCTGCTGGACGCCCGAAGGGGTTCAGGAATGCGGCGGATGTTGCGCGCCCTGCGGCAGGGATTTGTTCTGACGGGCGTACGGTCAGGAGCGTCTGCTCAGCATGTCGCGCCGCGAGTTCTGGCCCACCACGCTTCGGCCCAACATGCTAGCCACTTCCCGGTCCCCCCAGCGTCAAAGTCGCGAGCCTTTTCCAGCATCCCGCCCCCGCGGAGCGGAGCGAGACGCTGTCAGCCTGTAGGGCATGCCGTGTCGCAGCGTGTCGCCGCCGCAACGCGATACGCGAAAGCTCCAGAGCGCAGGAGCGCGGATTTCCGCAGAGGTGATGGAGAAGGGAGGAGGGAGACGGAAGACTGAGGAGGACGATGGGGAGGATGGCCTCCCCTCTGTCACCAGTTGAATCCGAGTTTGAACCCCTGCCCTCGAGAATTACGATCTTGCCCCATTGATGTTCAGGTCGTCTTTTGATTCGGAGGCAATTCACTTTTTTATCTGCCCATCTCTCGGTTATCTTTCACAAGTACCCAGTGCTGTTGCGATTAGGCGTCGTTGCGGTTCGACCAAGTTGGGCGGCGTTGCCGCCGACCCCCGACGTCGTGCTTTTTTTTTTTTTCTTCTGGCGTGGACCCACAGGGCTGCACGCCTCCCCCGAGGCTGGGCGTTTCAGACCGAACCGGCTCTTCTCACGGCCCCAGGGCCCGCAGAGGTTGAAATCTCCGCCTCGAGTGCTGCCAATGCGTTGGATGTCTGGTCACGAGGTCTCCTCCTCCTCCTCCTCCTCCTCCTCCTCAGTGACGCGGTGTTGCGGACGAGTTCGCGTCGGAGCGCCGATGCCTTCGTGCCTCCCAGCCTCGCAAACGTTAGCGGGCTGGGGGGGGGGTCCAGTAAACGTGGACCGCTGGCGGGGCCGCCGAGCGGGAGGAGAAGGAAACGACACGAGGGGACCGAAAAGAGAGGCGAACGGGGGACCGAGCGACGACGGCGGTACGGAGGAGGGACAAGAGGGGCGCGACGGTCAGGCCGCCTGCCTCCTCCTCCGTCCCCTCCTCCTCCGTCCCCTCCTCCTCCCTCAAGCGTCGACGCCCCGACCAGTCCTGGAGCGCGTTCTGACCAGGATTGTGGGGCGAATCCAGCCGTGACGGCGATGCCTCCCGAGGCAGGCCCACCAAATGAGCGACGCAGCAAACGAGTTCGCTTGCGCCAGCAATCGCGCGTACGCTTCCCGCGCAAGGTCGCGCGTAAGCGCCATTGCTGAACGTAGCGTGCCGCCTTGGCATCCCGCGTAAGCATTCGCTTAAGGTCGCCATGCCATCTCGCGTAAGACCCGCTTCTTGTCGCCGCTCACATGTAGAGAACGCTGAACAACCTACGTTAGGTTTGCGTCGTGTCGACTGCCAGCGACCCCGCCGCTGGCGTTCAACGTTGGGCGCTGCCGGCGACTCAGAATCTGTCGATGTTGAACGAGTTGGCGTTTAGGAAACGGCCGATGGTTCGAGGTCGCCCAATCCCCGCGGTGTCAGGAGCCAACGTCGAAGTCAGCACGGCACAAGCTTGCCGTAGATGCTCCTCCGTTCGTCGCCTCCTCGTCCTGCTGGCCCTGCCCCTGGGCTGCGGCCTGGCGCCCGCGCGCCAGGACCCCTCCTCTGCCCTCCTGGAGATCCTGGACCCCGAGCAGGACGGCCCGCGCCGCGGCTGCGCCCCCCTGGGGTGGCGGAGGAGGAGGCCCTCCTGGCGGCTCTTCCGTGCCGGGGCGAGCCCTCACGGCGTCCCCTCAATTGGGGCCTCGCTCGCGGCGAGAGGTTATCCCCCCGCAGGGCCCGATGCATCGTCGTGCCCCTGGAGTGGATCACGAACGCCTGGCCCGCCATCTCTTTCATTTCGGAGGCCTTCGGTTGCCGTGTCTTTAGTCACAGGCACTCTATCGGACCATTGGTGCAGCTGAGCTCCGCTCAGCTCCGCTCTGCTCTGCTCCTTCTCCTCCTCCTCCTCCTCCTCCTCCTGCTCCTCCTTCTCCTCCTTACACCCCTTCGCCTCTTTCTCCTCCTCCTCCTCCTCCTCCTCTTCCTCCTCCTCCTCCCCCTCATGTGTTCACGCTGGCACTTGCGCAGGAGAGGAGATGTCGTCGCAAGCTGGTTGCGTGGCAAGCTCTCTTCTCTGCTTTTCTTCGCTCCCATATGCTACCTGATGGTATGCCTGCGCTCATCGGTCGACGATTCCGCTCCTAGTTTCCTGAAAGTCCTTGCCCTCCTGCCTCCATCCTTTGTCACCGATGGCAGCGTCTCAAGGCCCATCTCAGCAGAGTTCCGCACTACCTCTTGTGCCCGAGGCTCTGGGCCGCCACCGACATCCTCGGACCCGCTCCTCCTCCTGAGCCTCTGATGCGTTTGGGGTTGGGGGATCCTCAGGACTTCGCGGACGGGGGTCGGATGGCAGCGGGCCCATCGGGCCCGCTTGGGCTCAGCGGTTGTCGCTACCGACTCCCAGCTGTGCCAGGCCCGCAGCGCCGCGCGTGCTGCCCTCAATATGTAATGGAATGGATCACGCCCCCCAGGTTACGTGTGCTCCTCCTCCTCCTCCTCCTTTTTCCCTTCTTTCCCCCCCCCCCCCCCCCCTCCTCCTCCTCCTCCTCCTCCGCCTCCTCCTCCTCCTCCTCCTCCTCGCCCTCCTCCTCCTCGCCCTCCTCCTCCTCCTCGCCCTCCTCCCCCTTCCTTTCTTCTCGAAGAGAGTGGCGCTCCGGCCTAAACGCCCAGGACCCCCGCGGCAGGGCCTCCTGGGCGCCCGCGGTCGCCCTCTGGGGTCCCCGGCCTTGGCAGCTGGCCGGCTCTCGGCGGTTTCCCCTGGGGACGCCGAGTGATCCGGCTGGCGATCGCAGAGCTCCCAGGGGTTCGATGTCTACCCGGACATGCTCGCGTCGTGAACAAAGAGCACGGCGGGTGGTGTTTCCCCATTTTCGGCCTCCTGGGGTCCTCGCTGGGCGTGGGAGACGTCACCGAACGACTCAGGATGAAAAACGGCCCCGGGGAATGGGTCGAGACCGTCGGGAGTCCACGCCGTGAAAAATCATGGCGGGGTGAGCTCGACGTATCGAGACCTTTCTTTGACTCCTGAGGTTTTAAGTTTTGCGCCGTTCCACCGACCCCCATAACAGTAATGTCGTCGAGGGTCGTGCCACCGTGCCGGGCCTGTGGGTCGGGAGCTTCGGGGATGCGTGTGAGGGTCTCCTGGAATGCCGCTCAGGGGCCTCTTGAAGGGCGTCCGGGAGTATTCGATCGGCTTCGAAGGGCTTTGGGGGGACCGCTCTGGGCCTCATGGGTGCCTCGCGAAAGCCTCTTGGGGCCTCTGGGGGATCGAATGCGCGGAGGGGTTCAACGTATGGAGAGAGTTTCAAATCTCCTGGTGATAACGGACGTGCCTGGGTGGAGCAGGGGGCCAGTCACGTCACGATTCGCGCGTGCGCCGTCTGAGAATGCTTGGGAATGGTTGATTCCCACACTTAACGGGCGGAGAACATGTCCGTATCCGCGCCCGCGCGGTCTGGGGTCGGGGGCGCGATCCCGTGGAATCGCGGTCGGACGGATAAGTTCTGCGCGAACCATCCGCGAAAAAACGCCCCGTATCTGCGCGGTCGCGTTCCAGGGGCCTGGCCCCCGAGGCCGCGGATACGGATATGTGTGTCGCCAACGAACACGGACGTGGTCAGAATCGTAACGTGCCTTTCGGGGGGGGGTCGGGGCTGGTCACGGACGTTTTCGCGAATAACAGAAAAACGGTGTACAGACACACCAGCGCCACACAGGTTGGGCAGCTGGGGCGTCTTTACACGGTGCTTCTAGACGGACCAAGCAACGTGGTGCATTTATCGAAGACCTCCCAAGAGTTGTGCCAAGCATGTCCGTAGCCATTTTGGCTCAAGCTAACGCGACCCTGGCCTCTTGAGAGGCAGAATAGAACTAATCGGCCTCGTGCTTCCAGCCATGCAGGGCTCGATGCCCGGCCATGGCGGCTCGTCCCGCCGCAGGGGGCGTTCCAGCCGCAGCAGCAGGGCACGATCCCATTCGACGTCTCGCATGCAGCGGGCAGTTGCGCTTCTGAACGAGCCGGTGGCCCCGTCTGGGTATGGGAAGGATCAGAATAGCAAGAATCACTGATACCGCAACCCTTGCCTCGTTTTCGTTTCTTCTGGCCTCCTGGGAGGCCCTGTTCGACGACGCTGGATTCGCCTCGAGATTCTGGTCAGAAGGCACCCTGGGAGAGACCCGGGGAGCAGTGGTATCGGTACCATTCGGTTTCCCCGAAGGAAGTCTCCAGCTCGTTCGACTCAGGCGTGCTCGGGTGCCACTCCGAGCAAAGCGGGGGCGACATGTCGAGTGGCCTCATGAACCCGCGGTGGCGCCGCCTGATAACTGCTGTGTCGCGCAGCCTCGCGCAGCGGTTTTCGGACGGAACTTCGGTTCCCGCCAGCGGCAACGCACGGGTGATGGCGGAGTTCGTGCACACCGACGTAGTTGGAGGTGGTTCGCAGATGGATTTGTGCCAGTGTTTCAAAGGTGCGCTCGAGGCAATGGAGCTGAGCAGCAAGAGTACAGGCTTTGTCCTCATCGGCGCTTACTACTACCTACAGGCAGAAGACCTGATGCTCACCACCCAGACGTGGCGCTCGCTCGTGGTGACCTCGCTGCTCGCAGCGGTCAACGAGCTGTGCGACCGCGCAGAGCGCGAGCAGGCGATCGGCAAGCTCCGACGTTCTGCGGCGCACTGGTGGTCTGCAGAGAAGGCCGACCGGGCGTTCCAGGTCTTCAAATTGCGCGACGCCTTTGTGCGAGACCCGCTCAACCAGCAGAAGATCGCCGAACTGTATTTCGATCTGCGCGCTCGCTCTCTGGAGATCGCTCCGCTTGACGGTTTTAGCAGCTCGGGGTTGTCCATCTTCGATTGTGCTCAGGACACAGCGACCAAGAGGAACTCGCATGTCAAGGCCCCGGCGTCGGTGTCGGGCCGCACCGGCGGTCGTGCCGACCGCAGCAACGAGCGCAGCAACGCCAGCTTGGCTTTCTCGGAATCGAGGAGCCGCAGCGTGCTCGTCGACGGCTACGCGTCCGACGACTCCGTCATCTCCGTTTGACGCGTGCTGTGTTGCGCAGTTCGGTGGGCTCCTCCAGCCATTATCTACTTGCGCCCCGAACCGATTCTTACTTCAAAACGCAAGGGTGTCTGCCTGGAGCCCGAGCGCGGCCGCGCAAGCGCCCTAGAGCGCAAGTGCCTGGAACGGGTGCTGAATCTGCAGCAGTGCGAAAGTGCATTCGCTGTCATCAGTCTTGGTTGGCAGGGCGACTTGAGGGGTTGGGTGGCTAGTGGACGGGTGGTGGAGAGCTTTCGAGCCTACAGTAATAGAAAGTGGTCGCAACCTGCATTTAAGGCCAAGAACGCAAGAGCCGCTCTCGCTCTTGCCGCTGGAGCGGTCTCTGGAATACCCGCTGTGCCGACGCCGCGAATTGCCTCCTCTGGTCCCTTCCCCCTCCTCCGTTCTCCCTTCTCCATCCGCTGACTGCACGCCAACTGTCTTAACGCCTTCACGCTGGATTCACGATGCTCAAGCTCGAAGCATGAGCCTGCGATCACACTTTTTGTTGATGACGTCGGGGGCCACTTACGGCAGCAGACGCCGCGCCTCGAAGCAATCATTATCCATACCGTCCCCGCTCATCGCCTGCTCTTCGGCAGGAGCTTTGGCCTATGTACAGCTGTTCTCTTCTCGCTGCGCGCGCGGGAACGCCGCAGCCTCCCTGGCTCTCATCTTGGGGCCGGGCTGAGGGCAATGGCTCCGACGGCCGCGCTGGGCAGGCAGTTTGTCTCATTCACTGGGTCCCACAGCCGCGCTGGGCAGGCAAAGTCGCCCGTTGCGGTCGGCGAAAAAAAGTGCTGGGCCGAGCATCGTCGGCGTCAGAGCCTGTGTGAAGGATGCGGCTCCAGAGCTCCGGCTATCTCTCTGTTCGAGCGCTCCTCCGTCGACCTCGGGCCACTGGAGCTGGCCGTCCGGCCCCGAGGCGGGGAGCGAACCCCCGGGCACACGGCCGGGGCCGCGGATGGAGACTCCAGCACCTCGGCGGCTGCTTGGGCAAGAGTCAGGAGGGGAAAAAACGCACAGACACAATTAATCGTCGATCCCCCAGAGAATTATGGGAAAATATGGGAAATGGGGGTGAAGACAAAAACCGGGAAAATATAGGAAAATATAGGAAATATTTGTATTTGTGTGTATTTATTTGTGTGTCCCAGGGCCCCTTCAAAGAGGGCAGTGCTCGAGCGAGGCTCGAGGGAGCGAGGCTCGAGACCCCAATTATGGGGGGCCACCTGCGAAGCCTGCCCCCTGCCCCCCACGAGCTAAGCGGGGGAGGGTGGGGTTCGCTTCGCTCGAGAGCTCCCGCACGAAGAGAGCCCCACCCCCCCCCCCCAGAAATCGTTGGGTGCAGGGGTAGGCTTCGCATGTGGCCCCCGGGGCTCGCTCCGGCGTTCCGGGCCCGTCCCTGGTCTCCGGATACGCCCTGGGGCCCCGACGCCCAGGATCGCGAAGAGCCGCAGCGGCAGACTTGCACCGCTGGAGCTCTGGAGGCCCGTTTCGTGCCCCAGAAGCCGGCCGTGGGGAAGGGGTCGGGAGCCTTTGGGGGCTCACGCCACGAGACCAGGCCTGACATCGGGGCGGAGGGTGTCCTTACAGTCTCGCCTCCTCGGCCTCGCTTATGGATCCCATGAGGCTGCTGGCCCGATGCCAGCGAAGGTCGTTCACATGCGTGGACGCCAAAGGGACTTGTGTCCTCGCCCTGCATCGTTCCTGTGGATTTGGGCTGCGAGGTCTGGGCTCTGCTGCAGTTTTGAGTCAGTTTTTGGCCAGCAGTGGCGAAGCGTCCTGGCGCGCCTATAGGCATACCAAACAATGGTCTAATAATATTTAGTGGTTTCCACGGGATGTTCTCCGAACATTTCTGGCTGGGGATGTCTTGTTTTATGACATCGGGTGAATGTTCTAAGAACATTATTTTTTGTTAGTTGAACATTTTGGGGTTCGAAGAACATTTCGTGGTAGGCCTATGGGAATGCCAGGACGGTCGGTCCCTGCTCAAGTTCAATTTCGCGATAACGACCGTCACCTGGGAGGGGGGAGGGAGATGGGGGCAAGCAGCGGCCGTCTGGGAAATAGCTGTAACTCTCTCAGGTTAGTCCTGGTATAACCCACCATTGGCGTTTACTTCGAACCTCTAGCCCCACCCATCTCCCAAGCGCTTCCCGCTGCGATCCAAGCAGCATGGCCGAATCGCAGATATCCCCGACGTGTCCTGGTCCGAGCTTGTCCTGGTCCTGCCCGGGCGCTGAAGGCGGGGGCACAGGCAGCGGGGGCACGGGGAACGCCGATTCCAACGTTTGGCTACGCCCCCCTTCAGGGGTCCCTGGGCGCCGTACGGTGAACGGGGGCATATGGGAAGGTCGAAGCCCTCGTTTAGCTATGCCCCCGCTTCCGAAGCCCCGATCCTGGCGTCGTCCTCTCAGGAGCGAAAGAGGGGGGAGGGGGACAGCGCGAGCTGGGCCCGTGCCGGGGACCTCGGGCCGATCTTCCAGGGGCGCCAAAGGATGGCACTAGAGGACCTCTGCACTCAGGGGCCACGGTGCAGTGAAGACGCTGGGCGCAGGAGCACGTTGGGCCTCGGGGGGGCCCTGGTTCCCCAGCCGTTCCCTGCATTGAGGCCGGGGAGTCTGCTGGTGGCCGAGGCTCGCCGTGGCGAGTCAAGCTCTTCGGTCCTTACCTGGCGTTCCTCTTGCGGTAGCACGATGGCTGCAGTCGGCGGCGAGCCAGACGGGGGCAGGGAGAGGGAGGAGGCCTTCGCAGAAGGCGGCGGGGCTTCGCAGATGCCTTCGCGCGCCTTCTGAGAGAAGCTGTCGGCGCCTTCGGGGGAGGCCTGGACGATCCCTCCGACGGCCGGAGGCACCCGAGCCTCCTGAGAAGGCCTGCCCCCTCTCACTTCCCCCCATGTGCCCGCCGCCGAGACAGGCGGGATAATAGGCTCAGGAGGGAACTCAACGCCCATGCATCGCCGACGGGGGCCTGGTGGCTAACCCACCGAGGAGCGTGCGGATGCACGGTCGTGGGCCTATCGCCGATTTCTTGGCGATGCATCGCCGGTTCCATGTCGATGTGCCCATCCCCTAAGCTGGCCCCCCTTATCGCTCCCCCTCGTGAAGCTGGATCCCTGTGTCGAAGTTCAAATAACTGTCTACATCTTCTGTGGCCCACGAACGGTGCGGTGACCACACCGTTTGGAGCGGGGATTCGGGGTGGCGGCTTTGGCACTTGGAGCCGTCTCCGAGGCTGTCTCGGGCGACTGGGGCCTCCGAGGTCCCCAGACCGTGCGTCGACGGACCGTGTGGTGAGGCATTTGGGGATCGCGATGTGGCCACACGGTCCGTCACCGCCATGTTTTGTAGAACCCGAGGTATGGGTCTGGAGGGCCAGCTGTGCAGCATTCCGAAAACGTCAGGGGCGCAGTTGGCCCCCCGGGGCCCGACGAGTGCGGCCGCGCGCTGCGGCTGCAGCGCGGGCGCAGACCAGACCCAGGGGGGCGGCCCTTCGGAGATACCGAGAGCGAGACAGAGAGAGAGAGAGAGGAAAGGAGAGAGAGAGAGAGAGAGGGTGAGAAAGAGGGGGAGAGAGAAAGCGAGAGAGAGAGAGAGAGAGCGACAACGAAGAGAGTGAGAGAGAGAGACACCAAACAGAGAGTCAATAATCAGAGAGAGAGAGGGAGACAGAGAGAGAGATAATCAGAGTGAGAGAGAGAGAGAGAAAGAGACAGAGTGACAGAGCAACACAAGAGCAAATCAATGACCTCGATGGAAGGACCCTGCACGATAATCATCCAGACTGATCTGAAGGTAACCCTCATGGTCATCATTATGATTACAGAGTCTCGGTTTCTGTCTGGTATTTCCTGGTCCTTGCGGACACAGGTTTGATTGATGATAGCCGCCTCGGATTACAAAGTACGCTCGACGAAACGAGGCTCCCGCTCGAGTATTCTTGAAGATTCAGACTCCAAGGTGCCACCAAACCATTGCGTTTACCTGGTATTCCGATGGCCGCCTCGGATTACCAACATGAGGTTGGGGCCCTATAATTAGGGGGCTCCCGCTCGAGACGTCCTCGCGATTCACTCACAGATGAGCGCCCCCGCTCGAGACGTCCTCGCGATTCACTCACAGATGAGCGCCCGAGACATCCTTCAATTTGCTCAGGATAGATGCTCCCGCTCGAGATTTCCTGTGGACTTCTGCTCCCAGGTGTCACCACACGATGGTGATGACGATAAGGATGATGTTGTTGGTGATGGCGGTAATGACGTGAGTGTAACAAGACCCCCACTTAGCACGTGGGGAAGAGTAATGGAGAAGGAGAGGCAGGGAGAGCGAGACAGAGAAATACATACAGAGAGAGAGAGAGACAGAGAGAGTAAGAGAGAGAGAGAGAGAAAGAGAGAAAGAGACAGAGAGAGAGGGAGAGAAAGAGAGAGAGAGAGGGATATATATATAGAGAGAGAGAGAGAGGGAGAGCCGAGCAAGATGGAGAAACTCGCAGTTCTCGTGGCTCTGCGGTGGAAGAAAAAGCCGGAACTCATGCCGGACATGATTGTTCTTATGTCAAGGACCTTGCGGACCTCCCAGGGAAACACTTCGGAATCAGAGCATGCCTGTCTTAATTGTAAGAGAGCTGGAGGCCCCCCTTGGCCCCAGACGGCGGTTTGTGTGGAGGATCCGAGGACGAGGAGGACCGAGGCAGACGAAGACCGAGAGGACCGAGGCGCATCGAGGCTCGAGGAGTGGCCTCGAGGACCGAGGACCGAGGATCGAGGATCGAGGATCGAGGACCGAGGACCGAGGACCGAGGACCGAGGAGGACCGAGGATCGAGGATCGAGGACCTAGGCGGCCACGGGGAGGAGCATCGCGAGGCTCGATGCCTCGGCCGGTCCCCCCGTCGCTCCGGCTCCGCCAGCCGGCGCGCGCGCCGCCGGGCCCCCGCGGGCGGCGGCGCGGGGGTCGGCAGGGAGCCGCCCCGCGCAGGAGCGCTCCGGGGCGGCGCGGCGGCCCTGCGCCCGGGGAGGGGGCGGGGGGGGGGTGCTCTGGAGCCTTCGGGAGACTAGGGGGGGGGGGATATCATGGCGGGGGGCATGGTGGACTAGGGGGGTGATGGGGGGGTGGACCAGGGGGGTGATGACTAGGGGGGGGTGGATATCATGGCGGGGGGCATGATTTTTCTCAGATTTCATGGCGCCTCTTCTTATTTCGTTACCTCCCTGGCCCCCCCGCTGGGCCGCGCACATGCCGCCGGCCATGATTTGCACCCCCCCCTCTTGGACACCCCCCTCTTGGCCGCTCCCGAGTGCTCTGGAGCCTGTTTTTTTTAGACTCTGGCAAGTTTGCTTGCATGGACTTGAGGGGGGCTGAGCCGGAAGCAAGCCGCAGACGACTTGCACGTTCGGGGGGGCGCGGAAAAATCACGCAAGTCGAGAGGCACTTGCACGGTAGTTTTCGCTTGAAGAGGGCGAGGGGGGGGGGGGGGGGGGGGGGGCGAACGCCATGTAAGTAAACTTGCCTGAATCCAAAAAAACAGGCTCCTATCCAGTCGGGGGAAGGTAAGACTCGGGTAAGCTGGAGCTCGGGTTGCCGACGGTTTTTGACGAGCGCGTCCTGGATGTTGACGGTCCAGTCTTCGTGGTACGTTTGCAGGGGGAGCTCGCGTCAAGTTTCAGATGGCGTCTCGTCATTTTTATGATGGACCCCGTCAGGCCAACCCGCTTCCCCCGTACCCGGGTCTTACGTCTCCCCGATCCAGAACCATCGCTTCTGTGATCGATCGTCGGGGTCCTCGGCAGGCGGTGAAGTATGGATCCGTGCCCAGAGACCTCTCCAGCACATGGGCAAAAGCATGATGTAGTTTTTTTTAGCATGCCTCCGGGGGCCCTCGCCGGGCCCCGGGACCGTCAAGGAACGGCTTGGGTGACAGTTTTGCCACGGCGAAGACGGCGTCGGGACTTCCATGGGCCGCGCATGGGTAAACTCAAGACTTCGGATGCCAGGGTTCGGGCCCTCGGTGGGCCACACATATATATATATATATATATATATGTATATTCTCATACGCACCTCTCCGAGGGAGTAGAGCTCAGAGGCGATTAATGCGCACGCGTCCGCGATTTTTCTGGGCGTTTCGCTCAGGACATCCTCGAAATTCTGAAAATCGGTGGCACCCCTCACGCAGATCGTGACGTCAGGGTCCAAAAACACATGGGAATTTCAACATTTTAACATAACACCTTCAAAAACACATGGTAATTTCAATAATTGTGACCCCGATTCTCAGGGAATGGCGGTTTCGCTTGAAAAATCCTTCCAAAATCGAGCCCCAGACCCCGCCTCGGAGCCTCCTGGGGGCCTCCTGGAACCTCCTGGGGCCTCCTGGGGCTTTCTGAACCTTCTGGCACCCCAGACCCCGCCTCGGAGCCTCCTGGGGGTCTCCTGAAACCTCCTGGGGCCTCCTGCGGCCTCCTGGAGCCTCTTTGGGCCTCCTGAAGCCTCCTGGGGTCTCCTGGGGCCTCCTGAGGCCGCCTGGGGCTTCCTGGGGCCTCCTGGGGCTTCAGAACTACATGCACACAGAGACACACATCACGCCCAACACATCACACGCTAGACAAACATAACACACACACACACACAACACCTACAACACACAAAAAGCACGCACCACACAAAGCATACATCACACACACATACACACACACCCACACCCACACACACCCACACCCACACACACACACACACACACACACACACACACACACACGCACAACACTCACAATCCTAGGGCCTCCTGGAGCCTCTTCTGGTATCCAAGTCGGGCCTCCTGAGGCTTCCTGGGGGGTCCTGGTACACACATCGCAAGGTGTGGCAACCCCACTTGCGCTCGAGTGCGACTTCGATGTTGCATTTCACTCCTGCTTCAAACGCCCCTTCAGTTTTTTGTATGAGCCTGGGCACACACGTGCCACTTGTATATATATATATATGTATATATATGGATGTGTGTATATATATCCATGTCCATGTCCATGTCCACCGCTCACCGAGGTCCTCGAAGACCGATCCCCAGGGCGGTGGTTTCGGACAAATTCCCGCCTCGCATAGATGGCGACGGTCCCCGCGATACGGGCGGTGGTGACAGTCCGGTGGGCGGTCGCAGGAGAGCCTATCCTTCCCTGATGTCGGACGTTTGGTATCTTTCAGTCCAGGCGTTTTTCATAATTTTCAAAATGTGGTCAACGGTGGCATGTGTTTACGCAGAAAGTTATTCTTCCCCCTCCTGCGCCATACCCAGACATCTGGCGCCTCGAAAAAGTCAAAGCGGCAAGTCTGTCCACATGTTTAGCATCTGGGGGCCTGCTCCGAGCACCAGGACCGTGAACAATTATCCGGGATGATGAATTAGCATTGGTGAAATGGTTAATGGGGAGCGGGGTTCCACGCTTCAGCCTGATTAAAGCACTGGGTGTATAGGGCAAATACACGGCCTGAGGGACGGACGTCCAATTATGTTTCGCAGTCTTCGGAATCCTGAGGTCTTTCCTGCAGGACACAATGGGTGTCCAGAAGCGACTCAGCATGAAATCTCGTCCCTGGACAAGCCTCAGAAATCAGGAGATTGGTTTCCCCCAGGACCCCCTTCCTTTCTGTCTGCAAGCGTTCTCGTCGTCCCCGGCCCTCGTTCCCAAACGGCGGGTTGGGGCTGTTGGCCCTTCTTAACAAAAGAGCTGCCTTCCCGCTTCGGCCACCGTGCATACCTCGGCCGCCAGGCCCCAAGGGTCCCGTCGCTCCCTGGGTATCTCGCCTCGCGCACTCGAGTAGTGACGACAGCATCCGGTGGCCGCCTGGCCCTTGGCATCGCTCGGACGTGACCATCGAGGAGCATCCTGTCTCATTTCACTCAAAAGACAACGTAACAAAAAAAACAAACCATGCCCAAGGAATGGACGTCCGAGCGATGGCAAGTTCGGCCCCTTCTATCGGGGACTTTGGTAGCTGGATGTCCTCCCGTTGAACCTGGCCGATCAGAAAAGGAGGGGAGCCCAGGGATGCACCCCCAGGGGGTCATTCGGTCGCACCCCTATGGGAGACCTGTGCCCCCATCGTGTATGTCCGAGTTAGACCCAACATTCCTATTCCAAGAACGTCGGGTATCGGGGTCGCTATGCTGCCTCGCGTTGCAGACATCTCGAGTTGAAAAGGCTTGTGATCGAAAAACGCATTTGACCGAATCGTGCCTGAACATGTAACCGAAATCGCAGCGTAAGCGAGATTGAACATCGAATTGGCTCAGGACCACAAATGTCGTTCGCACTCGGGTGCGTTCGAACAAAGAACGGCGCCGGTTTCGGCCACACTCGGTCATGATTTCGGGCACAGTTTCGGTCACTACATCCACCTGGCGAGGCTGCGCGAGGATGTCATCGCCCTGCTACCGCCCACCCGAGACAGAGGTGATGGAGCAGGTCACATCACGCTTCCACGATGAGCTTCGGAGAGACCTCGCGGCCATCCTCGACGACCGCCTCGACGCGCTCAGGGAGTCGCGGACTACAAAGGGCATCGTGATGTGGGGGTGTGGTTTGCGATCGGCATATTTGGGGCCTGGGGAGCACGACGCTGTCCTCGTCGGGCCTCCTCGGGGCGCGGCGGAGAGCTCCGTCGAGTCCGTCGAGGTCCCCGCTCGCCCCCCCGGGATGCCCCCCAGGGTGTATAGCTGCAGACCGCACACCCTCTGCAGATTACACCCCTCGGAGTCGCCGGAGGAGGCGCGGCTGGCCCTGATCGAGTCGTGCGTGGCGGCGGAGAGGCGCGCCAGCGGCAGGGCGGAGGCCCCTCCGGAGGCGGCAGCAGGCGCGGAGCCGCCCGCCGCGCTCGCCCGGGGGGCTGGTGCGCCCAGGCCTCCGGAGGTGCCGGTGGCAACGGCAGGGGCGTGAGGCACGGGGGGGGGCGCATCGAGCCTCAAGCTTCCAGTCATCGCCGCTGGGGCCCCGCGGGCCCCACCTCGCCCAGGAGAGTGGGGATGTACGATCTGGGGCCTGTCGCCGATCCAGTGGCGATGGATCGCCGACGCCAGGTCTCCTTCCCCCCGATGCCAGTCCCCCCCTAGCGTTGCCACTCCAGGTGGCGGGCGCTGCTGGCCATTCGGCTGTGGCGCCTTCGGCGCCGCTGGCGCCGCCTCCCTGCCCAGGCAGGGCTGCTCGCGGCCGGTTTCGATCCGACCCAGTCCCCTTTGTTTGTTTTAACATCGATCGAGTCTGATGCTTGCACGGGCCGATTCTCTCTCTCCGGTCTCCCAAGATGGCGGCACAGAAAAGCGGGTTCGACTGAGCAGACATTCGCGCGTAAGCTGCCAGCGTACGGTCGCGCGTGAGTGAACTCGTTTCAAATTATACAGATGTAGCGTGCCGCACTTGCGGCCCGTGTAAGCCGCGGCGTAAGGTCGAAATGTCTTTCGCGTGCGACTCGATTCTCTTTCGTCGGCCAGATGGCTTCCGAATGACCCCTCACGAGGCCCAGAAGGTTCCACAGGGCGTCAAAACGGGCAGAAAGCTGGGGGCGTGCTGGGCCCCCCCCCTGATACCGACGTCGCGACACACATTTGCACAGTGTGAAAAGTGCAATTGCAGGTCTAGACCGAATCTGCTTGCGGCATTTCTCGAGCAGGATTGATCCATGAGGGTAGTGGGTTCTTGGCCCGACACTGAGCGAACTCAACCAGGACGAAAAAACGCGACACCCCAGACATGGCATATCTTGATTGTTGAAATACGGCGTCCCTAGACGTTCCGATGTTTCATCCGGGGTAGTTTTTCGGCGGTCCCGAGGCCAGGCGAGGGCCCCACGACGCCGAAATCGGCCAAAAACCTCCCGTCGTGCTTTTTGTTCCTCCTGGGCGCGAGCACGCCTGGGTCAGGGTTGGGCCAGGACAGTCTCTGCAGCATCACCCCGGCAGGGGCCCCCCTGCCAGCCGCAGCCCCGCCGGCGAGGCCGCCGCCGGCCGAGGCGGCGGCCTCCCCGGCCGCGGAGCAGGCGGGACGGCGGCCTCTGCCGGCAGCGGGCCCTCCGGCGAAGCGGCTCCCCGCCAGCCTGCGGCAGGCCGCAGACCTCCTACAGTCGGGCCGACTCAGTCGGGCCGAGGTATACAGGATCGGGGTCGGTCCGGGGAGGGTGCCCTGACTTTCTTCGTGCTTGTCGGATGCTCTTCGTGCACTCCGGGGAAGGTACCCTTGGCTGTCCTGTGTGTGTTGGCTGGCGGAAAGTCTCGTGTTCTTGAAGGATGTTTTTCCGGCCCAGGTCCGACTGCACGGCGTTTTTGTTTTTGTCTGGTTTCCCAGAGAAGGAAACATCAGCGGCATATGCGCGTCATTTCTAGGAGGTCCGCGCGGATTTATTGGATCGGCGTTGGGCCCCCCTTGTCGGCGCCACCCCGGGCGCCGCCCCTGGTGTGTTCAGCGCGCCAGGGAGGAGATCCAGCGCCGATCCAGCGCCGAGGGGGGTCCAAGTGGACCTCCGAGCAAATATGTTTATGCAGCTTGTGCTCCTCGAGTAATAATATTTGTTAAATCCGTGCGCTTCTGCAAGGTTCTTGCCCCCAGGAGCCGTCTTCGAGTCCTGGGGTCATCAAGCATGGATCCTCGGACGAACATCCACGCCCGGGATCCGGGAAAAGGGGTTGGGACCGATGGGGCCGCGGATTGAAAACAATACATGGTCAGATGTCTGGGGGGCCAGACATCCATGTCGTCGTCCGAATGTCCACAGCAACATTTATTGCAACGCGCAGGCCCCAAAGATCCGATGCCTTGATTTCTTTCACACGGGGCCCCCGGAAGGCCCGACCCCTTCCCAGGGGCCAGCTTTAAATCCCAAGTCGTCTTTTGTCGGTCCCAAGGCCTTGCGAGGGTCATCAGACATCAGAGGCCGAAAGTCGCTCCGCCCTGATTTCAATTGATTTTTCATTACGCAGTTCCCCGGAGGCCCCGATCCTTTCTCCGGGGGACCGGCAGAGGGCCCCCAGAGGCCGCAACTTGCAGCAACAGCCTCCGCCCCGATGTTTCACATGATGCGTTGGGGTGGCCTGGGTGCTCTCGGCGCCGAGCCACGGAGTCCGCGAGGACCGCCGAGAGCTAGTGTTTCTGGCGGGTGCTGCTCCTCGGTGCCGATACGTCGGGCCCCCACCCCTGACGCCGTGATTTGTCCGAACCATCCTGTGGCGTTGGGTCCTCGTTTTGAAGAGAGCGCCGCGCGTCTCATCCTCCCCTCCTCTTCCTCCTCCTCCCCCCTGCTTCCCTCCTCCCTCCTCCCCCTCCTTGCCTCTGCCCTCATCAGAATGCGTCTCCCCGACCCAGTACAGCGTTTCGTGGCCCCACAGAGAGCTCCACCGAAGGCCCCAGTGGCTGCACTCGCATACGGGACCCCCGCGCAGTACAGCGCTTCGTGACCCATAGGGAGCTCCACTCGCGGCCCCAGTGGCTGCACTCGCATACGGGACCCCCACGCAGTACATCGATTCGTGACCCCATACATGCGGTTCCCCCCACCCAGTACAGCGCTTCGTGGCCCCATAGGGAAGCCCACCGAAGGCCCCAGTGGCCCCAGCGTCTGCACTCGCATGCAGTTCCCCCGCTCAGCGTTTCGTGGCCCCACAACAATCTTCACCGAAGGCCCTAGTGGCTGCACTCGCATGCGGGACCCCCACCCATCATAGCGTTTCGTGGCCCCTCAGGGAGCTCCACCGAAGGCCCCATTACAGTCAACCCGCATAGTAAGGATGGGTAACCTTCCCAAGGGTATCTTGTATCCCTGCCTCCACGGTCCATTCTTGGCCGCTTTCGCTGGCCGCGCCCCGCTCGCAAAGTGTCGACATGGCCCTCCAAGGCCCTTGCATCTTTATCGCGCGTCCTTCTGATACGGTCCCGCCACCCAGTACAGCGCTTCGTGGCCCTACAGGGAAGTCCACCGAAGGCCCCTGTGGCTGCACTCGCATGCGGTTTCCCCATCCAGTACGTTCGTGGCCATTTATAGGGAGCTCCACCGGAGGCCCCAGTGGCTGCACTCTTCGCATGCAGTTCCCGCACCAAGCATAGCGTTTCATGGCCCTATAGGGAGCTCCACCGAAGGCCTAAGTGGCGGTGTCCGCATGCGAATTTCCCACCCATCTCAGCGTTTCGTGGCCCTATATCGCAGGCCTAGAGGTTGACACCAACACCAATATCGGCGGTGTGCCTCCACCGAGGGAAGAAAATCCCGATCTCGGTGATGGTGGTAATATGCTGGGTACCGAGGTGACCGAAGTATTACCACCAACACCGAAATCTAGGATCATCTTCCCCCTGTGGAGGCAACCCATTGTGTTGGTGATGGTGCTTATTTCCAGGCCTCCAACTATAGGGAGCTCCACCAAAGGTTGCAGTGGCTGCACTCGCATGCGTTTCCCCCACCCCGTACAGCGTTTCGTGGACCCAAAGGGAGCTCTATCGAAGGCCCCAGTGGCAGTGTCCGCATTCGTTTTCCCAGCCAGCACAACGTTGCGTGGCCACATTGGGAGCTCCGTCGAAGGCCTCAGTGGCGGCCCCGCCTCCTTGCGGCTCACCCCTCGCACGTTTCGTGGCCCATCAGTGGGTTCCGCGGAAAGCCCCAGTAGCAGCGCCCACATGGCGGCCCCGCCCCACATCGGCACACCCTTCGCATGTTCCATGGCCCCATGAGGAGTGACCTCGAAGGCGATACTCGCAACGATTGTATTCTCAATTGCGTATGGTAGGGCCCTTCGCCTTGATGATTTCACTACGTTGGCCCGCAAAGGACTGGACCCCTTCCCCGGACCAGTTTTCATACTTTTTTGACGGCCCCGAGGCCCGGCAAGGTTCCCAGAGGCCGAAAACAGCGAAGAGCCCCCCGTCGTGAGTCTCTGGCAGCGCGAGGGGGTCTGGGAAGGTCTGGAGAGTTCCAGGCCACGCCGTCCGCCCCCGCTGCCGCAGCTCCCAGCGGCGCCGCGGCCGCGGGCCACCCCGTGGGCGCGGCCGCGGAGCCCGCCGCCGCGCCTGGGCCGAGGCCGCCTGCGGGGCCGCGGGGGGAGGATCGGTACACGCCCGCAGTGGCCCTGAGTCGGCGACTACAAAAGGGTACGGTGACGCCGGGGGTGCTTTGCGATCGGCACCTTTGGTGGCCTGGGGAGCACGGCACCATCTTCGTCGGGCCTGCTCGGGGCGCGGCGGAGAACTGCGTCGAGGTCCCCGCTGCCCAGGGTGTCCCCCAGGGTGACAGCTGCCAACCACACCCTTTGCAAGCCATATATCCCCTTCGGAGCCGCCGAAAGTGGCCCTGAGATTCTGGCGTCGCAACTTTTTCGAGTCGGGCGTTTTCGCATCAATCCAGGCCCTTGGACCGTGACCACAGAGCGATCCGGCTTGAAAACTGGCGCCGAAAGATTGGGTCTAGGACTCCGACCATTCTCTTTCGCGATATTGCATTTTCTTGGCGTCGTCGGATCTCAGGGGGGTGCGGACAGAGTGGGAACGCATACCCACCTGGCCCCCCTACCCCCTCCGGGCCTGGGCCAGAGAGCCTTGAGACCCATTTATGAGCTCGTCTCGAAAGATAGGGGCAGAGTGTAGGTATACGCCATCCCCACCTGCTCGCCTTCGTCTGGACACGGGAGAGTGGCCAGGTGAGGGTCTGGGTGCCTGTTTGCGCGATTTCGGGCCTCGGCCAGGGGCCGTTCTCGGGACCCGAGCGTTGCCCATTTGAGACACACGATCGCCGGTCCAACGGCGGCGGCCGCTGCCAGATCTGGGCAGCATTTGCCGTTCGGCATCCTGCCCATTTCTTCCGTACCCATCCCCAGACATCCAACATATAGACAAACAAAAACACGGCGGAGATTTGTGTCCAGTGTTCTGCTACCGCGGTCTTCGCTGGGCCTCGGAGCAGGCACAAAACGACCCAGGACGATCAACTGTTCCTTGGGCTGGGGACCCCGTATGTCGGGAGGGAAAAACATACCGTCTCAAGTAATCGTCGATTCCCAGGCAGATATGGAAACTGTGGGGAGTGGAGGGGGGAAGATGCTCCTCCAGAACATAGTTCGAGATTCATGAAGCATCCTGGGACTTGCCTGTTTACTCGCGTGTCCCTAGGCCCCCCTTTTATCGTATGTTAGCCATCAGTCTGGACGCCCGATATGGGCACGGAAAGAATGGGCACAATGCCCAACAGCAAACGTTGTCCCAAACCCACAGCGGCCGCTGTTGGGCAGGCGGCCTTCTGTTTCAAACGAACGCAGGCCGCGGCGGCGCGGACAGCGAGTCCTGTTCAAAGTGAGCAAGAACTGCTGTCGGTCGTTGTACCCATTCTTTCCGTACCCATGTCGGGCGTCCAGAATCGTCGATTCCCATGCAGATATGGAAACTATGCGAAGTGGAAGGGGGGAAGAGGATCCTCTAGAAGATAGTTCAAGATGCATGAAGCATCCTGGGACTTGTCCGTTTATCTTCGCGTGTCCCTGGGCCCCCCTTGATCGTACGGTGGCCATCAGGCCACGAGGGGCCCCCGGGTGCCGGGCGTGCCCCGAGGAGCCCCCCGCGCCGCCGCCTTCCGCTGGGCCTCCCAGGGCCGCGCTGCCCCCGCCGGCCCTGCGCCTGGGCACGGGGGCGGCGGAGGAGCGCGCCGCCCAGACCCGTTGGGGGGGCCTGCACCGTCCTCCTCCTCCTCCTCCTCCTCTCCTCCTCCTCCTCCTCCTCCTCCTCCTCCTCCTCCTCCTCCTCCTCTCTCCTCCTCCTCCTCCTCTCCTCCTCCCCCTCCTCCTCTCCCCTGCTCCTCGAAATCCTCCTCCTCCTCCCCTCCTCCTCCTCTCCTCCTCCTCCTCCGCCGCCTCCTCCTCCTCCCCCTCCTCCTCCTCCTCCTCCTCCTCCTCCTCCTCCTTCTCCCTTCCCCTGCTCCTCCAAATTCTCCTCCTCCACCTCCCCCTCCTCCTCCTCTTCCTCCTCCTCCTCCTCCTCCTCCTCCTCCTCCTCCTCTCCTCCTCCTCTCCTCCTCCTCCTCCTAAGGATCACGCACAGGATCCGATGCTCATAGCTCGCGGCTGGCAGTGGCTGTACCGTGTGTGGCATGAGTTCGAGTTGATGGTTCAGCAGCGTGATGAGCTTCACCACAACACGGCTGCCATTTCTCTTAAGCAGACTTGTCTTGTGGAGAATTACCCTGGCGAGGGCTTGGACGTCAGGCTCGACTCACAGGTCATCGCTTTGAGACAGCTCATCCATGAGTACCCCGAAGTTTATCCTCATGAGTGGTGGGATCGGGCTACTCTCTTTGGCGAACATTTATCTGTGGAGTTTGAAGTAGCTACGAAAGAATCATTACGCTTACGGCAGCAGTCGTGGACGGAGTGGTGTGACACTGCCCTCAAGGGTTCGGCTAAACTGATGCATAAGATCACGCGACTCCAGAAGGTATGGTGCCCCACAGTGGTTCAGAAGGCTCCTGGCATCTACTCCAGCAGTCCTGAGGAGGTGCTCAACTCGGAGGTCGGGATGCTGCAGCAACAGTGGAATGCGTCGACGTCGCCCCCACGCGCTGAAGTACCTGATCGCGAGTGCTTCCCGCGGGCCACTGCTGACGAGCTGCGGAGTGCTTCTCGGTCCTTTTGCCAGTTCACGTCATCGACTTTGGATGGCTTTCATCCCCGACATATATCGCTTTTGGGTGATCCAGCTCTGGAGACCCTCAGTGCATTGTTTGAAGCAGTGGAACGACTAGGACTCTTTCCTCGTCACTTCATGTGGATGGTATTTCCACTTATTGAGAAGCCAGCGGGAGGGCACCGTGCCATCCTCTTGTTGGCCAGCTTTGTGCGTGTATGGGAGAGGCTCCGCCGTCCCATGCTGGATCCGTTCTTTGCGGCCACGGAGAGGGCCTACTGGGCCTTTGGGTCTGGGAAGAGCGCGGAGTCATGTGTGTGGGCCCAGACGGCCCTTGGAGAGATTGCCGCGGCGGATGATCAGGTGGTCCTGGGAGTCCAGTGGGACGGCAAGAAATACTACGAGTCTTTCTGTCTGGAGCGTCTGCGCGATCGAGCTCGACAATGGGGCATCCCTGGGGTGATTGTAAAAACGATGTACAACCTCTGGCGCTCTCCGCGGCTGATTAGGCTGGGCACTTCCTTCCATCCAGTTGCATTTTTTGCTCAGAGCGGCCTACCTGCAGGTGATATTTTCAACGATGCGTTCGTAAAGGTATATGCGATCGGGGCCTTCGACGCGTTTACGGCTCGCTTTCCACATCCTATTCGGCTGTCTTCGTATGTCGACGATGACACGATCATGGCGACGGGTACTAAGGCTGAGTTGCTTAGATTGATTCCAGATGCAGCGGAGGATTTTTATCACATGTTTCGGGGACAACTTAGAGCCGACATATCGGAAACTAAAGCTATTACGATTGCCAGCTCACCATCCTTAGCTAAGGCGCTAGCACATCAACTTCAGCTCCGAGGGCTCCCAGCAGGCACCATAACCCACTCGTCGGTGAATCTTGGGGTTGACTTTACACCAGCGCAGGTTCGGATGACAAAAGGGGCCCTCCGAAAGCGTCGTGAACGATTTCGCCAGTTTCGCCTTCGACACTCTCGGGTCCTTCGATTTCGTAAATGGTTATCTCACGGGAAACATCGAATGGCAGTAATACATCAGGCAGGCCTTAAACCAGCTCTTGCTTATGGCAGCTCTGTGCTTGGAATGTCGGACTACGAGCTACAGCGAGCTCGCACCTTACTGCTCAGTTTTCGCTCTCCATCGCATAGGGGTGGATCTTTGCTGTCGAAGATTGTGCTCCACGGCGACCCGATGGCCGACGTCAGTGTTGCACCAGCAGCTGCATGGAGTGTGGCAGTCTGGCAGGCCCTGGTTGCACCAGAGCGCGCTCTCTTCAGCATTCGAGAACTTCATCAGATGTTTCAGGTAGTTAAGGAGAGAATGGAGCCACATCACAGATGGCGACACACGAAAGGACCGATCTCGCGGATGCTCCTATCTCTCCGACGTGTTGGCTGGTCCGCTAAGAACTTCGCTCTCTGGGAGGATGATAATGGGGTGGAGATCTCGCTCATGTACACGGCTCCTAACATGCTTAAGGGTTTGCTTCGTGATGCTGTTCAGCGTAAGCATGAACGTGATATGGCACGCACTGTAGATAATTTTGAGCATGCACGTGTGTGTTCTGACATTGTGCGTAGCATAGTGTGTACGTCTAAGAAGTATACGCCTAGGCAGAAGTATGCTGTAGCTAGTTGCTTTTGTAAGGCTGTGTTCACGTGCGACAGGCTAAACATAGATGAAGGCCTCTGTCCACGTTGTGGGGCCCCTGATAGTGTCTTCCACAGGCTCTGGGTGTGCCCTAGCCCCGAGGTTGCACAGGCCCGAGGAGAGGTTGCCACCCCAGAGATTGTTCAAGAGGCTTTGGAGGCTGGTCCGACGAACCCTTTTTGGACCCGCCTCATCTTTCCTCATCCCTCTCTCACCTTCCAGCCTCCCACTGATTGGGTCTATCCCGAGCTCTTGGATGCGCAAGGAAATGTCCTATCGGACTTCTCGTGTATCGAGGGAGCCAGCGATGTCGTCGTCGATGGGTCGTGCACGAGGCCTCCGATACGCGAGCTTGCGCGAGCTTCCTTTGCTGGAGTCTTCCTTGAGCGAGGCTCGGAGGAAGTACTGGCGAGGTTTCGTGGGCCGGTCTGGCCAAGTTTGCCGCAGACCCCTCAGGCAGCTGAGCACATGGGCTTAGTTGCCATAAGTTTCTTTGTCGGGCAGCTGACGCATCAGATTGGAGTTTTTTCGGACTGTCTGGGTCCCGTGCGGTATCATAATCAGTCGGCTGCCCTTCAGGTGTCTTCCAGGAACAAATATGCTGGGCTTCGGAGGGGTTTTTGGGAGATCCAAGGCTCGAAAAACGTCGGCCCTGCGACCCACACCCCTGCCCACCGAAGCATGGATGTAATTGATGCTCTCCCGCCAGATGAGCGTAGGATAGGACGTGCCAACTCCCATGCGGATCGTTTCGCGAAGGAGGCTCTAGCACTGCACGCACAGGAACCCCAAGAGTCCTGGGATGACCTCTCGGCCCTGGTTGCCAAGGCCCGTGCTGTGGCCCGTGTGATGGGGGCGGTTTTGCCCCTGTTTCCGTTTTCCCAGTTCCCTGAACGGAGAAAGGTTCCTTGCCCTAGGAGCACAGGTGCTAACCGATGGCATGCATGGACGTCCGTCCCAGGTGCACCAGGCTCCTTCATTTGTTATGACTGTCATGCTCGCCGTACAGGTACGTGTGCTAATGCTTTGGATATGTCGGGCTGCCCAGGGAGGAGACACAACTTCTCTTTCCTGGGACAGCCCTCCCTCGGGCATGACCTGGTCTACACACGACTCTCGTCAGGTCCGAGTCTGGTCTTTTGCAGGCGCTGCGGTGCCTACAGCACTGAGCGTCTCAGTCGTCAGCTCGAGAAGCAGTGCCGAGGCTACGTGGTGTCTTCTGCCAGTAAATGTCGCCTCGATCGTATGCTCCGAGGCCTCCACCCCCAGTCCAATCGTGCCGCACCAGGTGTAGTGCTCCACATACTAAGTGATATGGAGCGCCAGAGGCTACTTGAGACCCAGCAGCGCCCTCGACGTGCTGTGTGGCTTCAGCGTCCTCAGGGTGATCTTCCAGGCACGGCTTTAATTCCAGGACTGGAGGGGATGAGGCAGCGGATAGCAGCTCGAGAGGAGGCGCGAGGTTTCCAGGAGCAAGTTTTGAGGGCCCCAGTGCTGCGTTCGAATGCACTGGAGCCCGAGGTCCTTGGGCCCCGTGACCATGCCCAGGGGTCCGTTGCCCCAGAGCAGGGTCTTGATCCTGAGGAGGAGGCCGCTCGCTTCCTCCATGAATGATAAAACGTTTTGCGTTCTACCCCGCGGGAAAAAAAAAAAAAAAAAAAAAAAACTCCTCCTCCTCCTCCTCCTCCCCCTCCCTCCTCCTCCTCCCTCCCTCCTCCTCCTTTTCCTCCTCCTCCCCCTCCCCCTGCTCCTCGAAATCCTCCTCCTCCTCCCCCTCCTCCTCCTCTTCCTCCTCCTCTCCCTTCTCCTCCTCCTCCTCCTCCTCCTCCTCCTCCTTCTGCTGCACGGGTCGGGCAGGGGCTCGGCTGCAGGATCGATTCCCCCCAACCTCTGATTGCCCGTCGAGTCTACGAAAGACACCTATACGATGCTCCGCAGATCTACGGACAATTTCCACGCATTTTTCTCGAGGGGTCGACGAGAGAGAATCAGTCTTGGGGTAGATCAGTTCTGCAGCCGGCCCCTTACTCGATTTGGTGAGGTCACGACGGGAGGTTGTTCCGGACGGGCCCAGGATCGATTGAGATCCGCTCCAGCCTACTCCAGAACGCCCTCGGGACGTCCTGGAGCGCTCTGCAACGGCCGTGGCGCCCGATGCGTCCTCCAAACCCGCCGGATCTCGAAGCAGTTTGCCGCCCAGAGCTCCAACGTTCGTTCCCTGAGGTCCGACGCTGCGGAACAGTTTGCGCATCGCAAAAACTATCGACCAGAGCCCCGAGCCCCATTCTTCTGCGAACGATTTTTCGAGCCGGATCGACTTGTGAGCGAAAAAGCCCATCGTGCAAAACCCTGCAGGCCCTC